GTCTGAGTCTGTCTGTTAGTTCCTTTCTTTAGGTCCTCCATCTTTGGATCTGTTTCCTCTGATTTTTCCTTCTATTTTCTGGGTTGCTAGTTCCTTCTTTGTAGTCATTTTCTGAATTTGTAGATTTAGATTAAAAAATTGTTCTTTTATCTCCTTTGTGTTATTTTTAGTCTTATCATGAGCTAAGGCAATTGTTTCTTGTGTTGATTTTAACATAAAATTTCTTTCTGAAATTCATTAACATTTTCTTGTTGGTATGTCATGCTGGGGACTTTGGGGACAGGTGTTAGCGATGTTTTTTTTTACCATTTGAACCTAAGTATGGAACATCTATTTTCTTTTTGTATGTAGTCTTTATAGTCCAATCTATTTAGGGATTTAAAAAGTTTCAGTCAATTGTCATTTGAATTCCTAATTATCCAGCTGGTCTAGCAGTCCATTCTTAAGTCTCTCCTTGACAAATATAAATAAAATTCAAATTTTTAAATTTTTTCTGTCCAATAAAAAACACATCCTTTCTGTCCAGAGAGAGAAGAGCAATTTAAAAATGTTAATCAATTAAAGCTTTATAGTCCAAAATATTCCATCATCTCACTCAATAATGCATGTTTCTTCTATAGGGAAATAGCTCCATGACACAGATCTAAAAGTCAGTTAGTATTTATATTCATAGTCCAGGCAGGCCAATTTCAAAATAGTTTATAGTCTCTGCCACACAGATAAGCAGCCAAAGAGATCTCCCCCCCCCCTTTTCCCAGCTGCAGTTTTCAAAAGTGAAAGTTTCTGAAAACAACAAGAGTCTTATCTAAGTCTGGGCTTCCAACCAAGTTTCTTTTAAGCATAATAAATTGTAGTGTTTTAGTTCACCACTAGATATCATTGATGCGTTTTCCAGTTTTTTTTACATCCAAACTTATATTAGAAGCTTTTTAAGTCTCTTTAAAAAAATAAAAAAAATCTCAAAAGCACTTTTAGTCCCCAAATTTCAAAGTTATATATGTGTATTGCTTCCAAATTAATCTTATAATTTTCTCTATTTCCCCCTAAGCAATTAATTCGCCGCTTTTTTTCCCTGAGGGAATGGGGTGGGAATTTCCTTCCCTCTCTCATCGGGGGAGGATTCTTTGCTTTGGATGTTTTTTTTCCCAGAAAAAAGTCTTGAAATCATAAAGAGAGGATAGGGTCTCACCCAGTTCCATCCACATTGCTCTTTCATGGGTAGTGCTACATATAGTTCAAATACTATGTCATAGATATATTATCTATCATTGGAAAATAACATATTCCACATTTCTTTTTTTTTCTATTTTTCCAGAAAAAAACAGCTTTGGAAAAAACCAGAAAAAAACTCCCCCCCCCCAATTTTCCAGGTTTTTTCCAGGCCTTCCTATCTCTAATCCTAATCAACATCTTAAACTGTGCTTGGAAGCACAGTTTGTGATGTTTATGAAGCAGAAGTGTAATATAGGTCACCTAGGAGCCCAAAATCGCTCTTGTTGCCGCACTTTGTACCAGCTGAAGCTTATGAATGAATTTCAAGGGTAGCCCTATGTAGACTACATTGCAGTAGTTAAGAAAAGAAATGACCAGGGTTTGAGTAACTGAGTGCAGAGATTCATGATCCAGGAAAGATTGCAACTGGTATACAAATCAGAGCTGTGCAAAAACTGTCCTAGTCACACCCACCACCTTCTCTGCTGCTGTTATAGTTCCCAAGTGGCGCCAAAGCATGGTTCCTTGGATAGGCCGCAGGCTGATGTATGACCTGCCAAAGCTCAGCCCAGCACTGCCATTCAGTCCATTGCCCCTCTTTCTGTTGTTGCCACATGGCCTGTGATCACTTGACCTGCTGCCACTGTTGGCCTGTTACTTCTACCTCAGGCATCATTGCCACCTGGTCTTTCACCTGGCATAACCCACTTGCTGCCATTGGATGTCCCAATGCTGACATTGGGACATCCAAACTCACTGCTGCATAGTCTGTCACCACTTGGCCATCATTGCTTGGCCCAATGCCACTTAGCCCTTTGCTGGTATCTGCCTACTGCTTGGCCCAAAGCCACTGTCTGGTCCATTGCTGTTTGGCCCTCTGCCACTACCTGGGCTATCACCAATGTCACTTGGCCTGCTGCTGCTGCCTGGCCCATCATTGCTTGGCTTTCTGCTGCTTGCTGCTCTACTGATGTGATTACTTGGTCCACTGCTACTGCCCACCCATCTACTGACAGACTGCTACACAATCTGTCACTGCTTAGCCCAACACTCCTGTTTGGCCTATCACCACTCAGTCTACTGCCATTGCCTGACCTACCATCACTTGGCCTATAGCCGATGTCACTGCCCCTGCCTAGCCTGTCACTGTAGCACATAAATCAACCAAAGCTCTCCAAAATACTTTAAGTAAATAAAAAAACCCCAATAATCTCAGAAAAAAAAGTCATCTACAGCATACAGTGTAAAAACTGCAACAACCACTCTGTAGGACAAACAGGAAGAACACATCCATGAACACCAACTAAAAGTCAGAAGACATGATGAAAAGTCTTCAATTTCACAATGTATGGATAGATTTAACCACAGTGTCAACTGGAAAACAATGACTATCCTTGACCAAGCCAAGTCGAAAAACACTAGAGAATTTCTGGAAGCCTGGCATTCTCATAAATGGACTATCAATAGGCACATAAGACATAAATAACATCTACATATCATTTAAAAGACTCAACAAGCTAAAAAAGGAACAAAATAATGAAAATACCTCTCCACCAGGATTCAACATCCAGATGACCATAGATTAATATCAAGATTAACAACAGACCAACAATCAAGAAGTAAACAATACCCTATTCAAGGAACTGCCAAACAAACTAACAGTAAACAGCTCAACCCAAGAACCACCAAGCCCAACACTGAAGGGCAATTCATTAGATAGAATATAAATTGAGAACAAACCTTTTCAGGAACCTCACTCCCTTTAGATTGATTACCTCCCTTAGTAAAATAAAGAATGCAAAAGAGCAGAAAAGGCCACTTACAGAAAGGTAAAAAGATACATGAATGGATGAGAAGCTGTGGCTCATCAAATCAGGTTAAAATGTGTGTGGTTTTAGTGAAGTAACTCCCAACCAGTCATTCACACTTTTGCATCAATCACTTTGTCCGTAAGTACATCTCAACACACTCCAATAAGGGCTGACGGCAAAATCCCATGTTTGTTTCTTTGTTCCTTCTTTTTCTCTACCCTTGAGCAACCAAGAGAGACAATGGCCCAGGGAAATAGAGGAATATGGAGCTCTATCCCTGGTTTAGATGCCTACCTATGATATGAAAGTAAATGGAAAATCAACATCTACTGCAATAGTGCTATTCCAATATATATAACATCAATTCACATCATGGGGAAAGATAAATATTTTAGTAAACACACCTCCTACTTAGCTCTTTTCATAATTCTTTCCCTGATGCAACTATTTAGGTCATAGTCTAATTTCACTACATAATAATAGAAAAATCTCAGCGTCAGCCTGAGTTGCTTAGTTCCATGTTGTATTTTGTCTGTTGACGATTATTTATATTAATCTTACTAGATCCCAAATGTTGATCTTATCATATTGTCTATATTATCTACCCTGTGACTAGATTTGAAATACTTAGGTATTTTAATGTAATTCTTCATTTTCCCTTTGACAGACAGAACATATGACTCTATTAATAAGACTCTAGCCTCACAGTAAACAACAATAGCACAAGATATTTACTTAGTCTTTGGAACAAAACTATGCACAGGTGCCAAGATGTAACAGTTTAGTAAGGTCCCCTGTCATAATGATTCATTTATCAGCACTTACTATATGAAATGCATCTCTCTTTAAAAAAAACATTTAAATAACTGTTGTCAACAAAATTACATCAGTTTCATATTTTTAAATTTACCTCAAAAATCAGTTTGGACTAATGATTTAGGGCACTGTACTAATATTAGAAAGACCCAATTCTAGTCCTACCTTAGGCACAGAAACCAAATGAGTGACTTTGAGCCAGTCACTCTTTCTCACCTTAGGAAACTACATGGACTTGCCTGTATATTACCATAAATCATGTCCAATGCAACATTAAAAAAAATCAGTTTGTAAATATAGTATTTATTCTGTCTCATTTGCAAAACTATTTATCTATTAACAATAACTTGCAGTGCACAAATTGGTGAAATTTACCCTCATTTGTGAATATATTCTAGTTTTTTGGCTCTACAAATATTATAATTTCTTATTGCAATATCAAATGAACTTTGTATACAGCACTGTTTTTAAATCTTGAGGGTCTTATAAGTTGAAAAAATAGATAGATAGATAGATAGATAGATAGATAGATAGATAGATAGATGGATGGATGGATGGATGGATGGATGGATGGATGGATGGATGGATGGATGACTGAAATTAGATACACCTGAGGAACCTCCCATGACAGAAGATTATTTAGCTAGAAACAATTAATATATTTTCTATATATTTTCTGAGCTTCAGCCAAACAAAGTTATTTCTACTGATTCCCAAAATATGTTTTCATATGTATTGCAGATCTTTTTGATAATCTAAAAGAGACCCAATGTCAATCAAATCTGAATTGGCATAAATATGCAATAAAAGAATCCCTTTTAAGGTACTTTTAACATTACCAATTTACAAATCAACCATCCACATAGAAACAAAGTAAGGTAAAAACAACACTGTGGCTATGATTACATAATTTTAGTGCAACTTAATGTTAGTTAAACCTAGGCTTAAACAGAGAGTTATTTAATCATATAATTATTACCCTGAAACAAATGGGATTTAAAATAAGCTTGGCTAGGTGATGCTATTTATATTTTATTTCAAAACATTTTTCTGTACTTGATTGCATATATTGATTTCATAACTGTAAGCGTAATAATTTCTATGGAAGGCAATAAAATATATATGATGCATTTATTAAAAAACAAGTTTTATTTAACTTACAGGTTGAAGTAGGTATATTAAGGAACACTCTTGAATAATTATGATGGGAAAAGAGGTTATCTTAACTGCATGGAAGAGAGTTTCCACAGATGCCATGATTTGATCAAAGCGACCTCCAAGTCCACCCAAAGTTATAATCATGTCCATCTAACAGAAATACAAAACGTACACAGAGAAAAAAATAAATAGAATGTTTAAAAAAGGTCCAAAATATAAATACATATGTTTACAAAGCATAAATATAATTTGAGATGTTGAACAGATTTCAGAAATATCAACAATATATTTATAATGGTAGGAGAATTTATAAAGTAAGCATATTTGAAGACATTAGCCTCATTCATTTTGATCCTCTTCTTTTTAGATGATGATGATGACGATGACGATGATGATGATATAAATATCTTGGTCTTGATTTTCTAGGGTTGTAATAACCAGGTCTAGGAACATTTCATTGCTATTATGATTTCATCTTAATGGCAAATCCATGGAAGACAAAGCAAATAACAGCTCAAAGTTGTGATGGTTCTATATTACATCCAATAACAGAGACAGTAGATTTTGAAAATCAGTTGCTAAGTAATATGAGTAGGAGGATTATTACTGAAATGAAAGGCTCGGCTAGATAAGCTCTTGGTCCTGGAGTTAACAGAACTTTTTAGAGACTAGACTAGACTATAATATTTTATTTGGCCAAGTAAGATTAAATGCACAAGGAATTTTTCTCCGATGCAGAAGGTCTCAGTGTAGATGCAAAATAATAGAATAGTCATCATAACACCAAAAAGAGGGGGTAGGAATATAAGAAGACTAATACTAATATTATGGTCATACAACATGTAAATATACATAGACATTAGACAGTACTGTGAGAGTTAGGTGTTCAGCAGAGTGATGGCACAAGGAAAAAACCCTGTCCCTATGTCTAGTTGTTTTAGATGCCCTATAGTGGCATCCTGAGAGAAAGAATTGAAACATCTTTATGTCCAGGATGTAAGGGTCTCTAGATGTTTTCTCAGTCCTTCTTCTGATCTGCGCAATATACAGATCTTCTATGGAAAGCAGACTGGTTGCAATTGTTCTTTCTACAGCCATAACTATCCATTGGAGTCTGTACCTCTCTTGTTTGGTTGCTGTATCAAACCAGACAATTATAGAAGTACAAATGACAGACTCAATAATTCCTCTATAAAACTATATCAACAGGTCCTAGGGCAGTCTGAAACTCTGGAGTTGCTGTAGGAAGAATATTTTTCGTTGTGCCTTTTTAATGATGGTTCTAATGTTGGGAGGTTCATTCCAAATCCTGGAAGATTATAGAACCCAAAAACTTGAAGAACTCTACTGCTGATACTGTGCTGCCAAATATAGTAAGAGGTGGTAGACTAGAAGGGCTCTTCTTAAAATCTACTCTCATCTTTGCCGTTTTAAGCATGTTCAGCTCCAGACTGTTCTGGCTGCACCACAGGGCCAGTTGTTCTACTTCCCATCTGCAGATCCAACATCATCTTGAATAAACCCACAGTAACTGTTGAATCATCTGTAAACTTCGATATTTTAACAGAGGGATGCAGAGATGCAATCATTGGTATATATAAAGAGCAACGGAGAGAACACAGCCTTGAGGGGGGTTGTGCTAATTGCTCAGATATTAGATGTAATTTTCTCTAGCTTCACCTGTTGCTTCCTATATATCAAAAAGCTAATAATCCACCTAAAAGTATGGACAGATACTGCTAGCTTAATCAATTTAAAATGAAGAATTTATGGAATGATTATTAATTTCTACATATTTATATGTGAAGCATGTAAGTATATTTCTACACAATTTGAAACATGTTTTTAACCCTTATTTAAAAAAAGATGGTTGGTAGAAGAGCCGAAAATGAGCCCCAAATTTAACATTCACAGTTATACTTTGTTTTCTATGAGAGATATTATCTTTTCACATACTTAGCGGTGCTTATGGATCAATATAATGATTGAAATAAGACCCATGCTCACTTGCCTGCATCATTTTTCACTTTACACAGATGGATGGAAGGAAGGAAGGAAGGAAGGAAGGAAGGAAGGAAGGAAGGAAGGAAGGAAGGAAGGAAAGAAGGAAGGAAAAAGATATTATTCTAGGTTACTGGACTATCTTCAGAGAGATTGCTCCTTTTTCTATGTGTGTTAATATTTCTGTTTTTATGATGGGAGAAAGAGTAATCTGTTTTGAAATAGAGCTGTGGACTGTGACATTGTTTACATGCAATATATTCTACAGTAAAACTCCAAAGTGAAGAATGAATCCATCCTCTAGAATTTGGCACTAAGATATGTGGATTTTACTTCTTTTTAGAATTAGTACATGTAACATGTATGATATTTAATTCATTATGTTTCAGTTTTTAATTGCATAAAGACATATTATGATACAAAAAGTAAAAGGTGTTTTTTAGGGATGAAGGATTTAGAAAAGTAAATAAAAATTAAAGGAAAGAACATGGGGATTTGTAGAATTTTGTCAATATGTACCCAAACTTAAAACATAATATTGATGACAAGTTTTTGAAACATCCAAAAACTAATAGGGAAAATTTTAGTTTCAAATGATTGAGATAGAGTAATTATTAGTCATAGACTAAAGATTAGAGGTGATATTATAGCATATTCTAATATTTAAGGGGCTACCATAAAGAAGAGAGGGTCAACCTATTCTCCAAAGACCTGAAGGCAGGACAAGAAGTAATGGATAGAAACTAATCAAGGAGAGAACCAATCTAGAACTAAGGAAAAATTTCCTAAGAACAATTAATCAGTGGAACGACTTGCCTTCAGAAATTGTTGTGCTCTAACATTGGAGATTTTTAGAAGAGATTGAACAACCATTTGTCTGAAATAGTTCCAAAAGATACAAATTTACCTTTCGGCCCAGAGGGCAAGTATTGCACAATGGATGTTTATATGTGCATCCACACACCAGGTAGTGTTACTACATTATACTTAGCCATGGATTGTTTAATCATGGCTTATTGACTAAGTTATAATTTTCTGGGACTGTTCAATATGTTAATACCTAAGTAATAAAACATGAATTATTGAATAGCATTGTGGAAACATATGCTTATGGATATCCTCTAAAAAAAGAAACTCTAACTACATCAGCTCTTTTCCAGTCCTCTGGTAGTTCCCCAGTGCTCCAGGATCTTTGAAAGATATAGTTCAGTGGGCACTGGGAAACTACAAGAGGACTGGAAAAGAGCTGATGTAGTTAGAGTTTCTTTTCAGTTTCTCTGGACTTTCAAAAAAAGAAGAAAAATGGATCCAGGAAACCACAGATCTATCAGCCTGACCTTAATACTTGGGAAGATTCTGGAAAAGATAATCAAACAACGAATCAGCAAACACCTAGAGTCATTACCAAAAGCCAACATGGGTTTGTCAAAAACATATCTTACCAGACAAATCTTATTGCATACTTTGACCAAATGACAAAATTAGTGGAATGCTGTGGATATAATTTACTTGGACTTCAGTAAGGCATTTGATAAAGTAGATCATAACCTACTACTTGATAAGATAGAAAAATGTGGGTTAGACAGCATTACCACCAGACGGATTCGTAACTGGCTGACTGGTCCTACTCAGCATGTGGTCCTCAATGGAACTGCATATACATGGAAGGAAGTATGTAGTGGGGTGCCCCAGAGCTCTGTTCTAGGCCCTGTGCTCTTCAACATCTTCATCAACGATTTGGATGAGGTTATAGATGGGGAACTCATCAAATTTGCAGACGACACCAAGCTGACAGGATTAGCCAACACTCCAGAAGATAAGCTTAAGATACAGAAGGATCTTGATAGACTTGAACATTGGCTGCTATGTAACAAAATGAAATTCAATGGCGATAAAAGTAAGGTTCTACATTTAGGCAAGAAAAACCAAATGCACAGGTATAGTATAAGTGGTACCTTGCTCAATAGTAGTAACTGTGAGAGGAATTTCAGAGTCCTAGTGGACAATCACTTAAATATGAGCCAGCAGTGTGCTGCAGCTGCCAAAAAAGCCAACACAGTGCTAGGCTGCATTAACAGAGTGATAGAATCAAGATCACATAAAGTGTTAATACCACTTTACAATGCCTTGGTAAGGCCACACTTGGAATACTGCATCCAGTTTTGGTCACCACAATGTAAAAAAGATATTGAGATTCTGGAAAGAGTACAGAGAAGAGCAACAAAGATGATTAGGGGACTGGAGGCTAAAACATATAAGGAACGATTGCTGGAATTGGGTATGTCTAGTTTAATGAAGAGAAAAACGAGGGGTGACATGATGGCAGTGTTCCAATATCTCAGGGGTTGCCATAAAAAAAAGGGAGTCAAGCTATTCTCCAAGGCACCTGAAGGCAAGACAAGAAGCAATGGATAGAAACCTACCAAAGAGAGAAGTAATCTAGAAGTAAGGAGAAATTTCCTGATAGTTAGATCAATTAATCAGTGGAACAACTTGCCTCCAGAAGCTGAGAATGCTCCAACACTGGAAGTTTTTAAGAAGAAACTGGACAGCCATTTGTCTGAAATGGTATAGGATTTCCTTGCTGAGCAGGGAGTTGGATGTGATGACCTCTAAGGTCCCTTCCAACATTATTATTATTATTATTATTATTATTATTATTACTATTACTATTATTATTCCCATTTAGAACAGCCAATTTCATTAAAATGACAAGTCAAGTACTAAGAATGACAACTATTTCATTATTTTAAGGGGACTGTGCTAGCTAGAATCTCTAGAACTACTAGAGCAGTGGTTCTCAACCTTTCTAATGCCGTGACCCCATAATACAGTTCCCCATGTTGTGGTGACCCCCAAGTGGGTGTGGCCACCAATAAGAGGGAGTAGGACAGCTAGGGAAAAGGGAAAAAAATGGCGGACAGCATGGTTTGACGACCCCCATGAAATGGTCGTTTGACCCCAAATGGGGTCCCAACCCACAGGTTGAGAACCACTGTACTAGAGGGTAGCATATTATTATTATTGTTATTATTATTATTATTCCCATTTAGAACAGCCAATTTCATTAAAATGACAAGTCAAGTACTAAGAATGACAACTATTTCATTATTTTAAGGGGACTGTGCTAGCTAGAATCTCTAGAACTA